GCTTTGCAGGGCTGTTCTACAGAAATGGAGAAGAGTTCCTGCATCGCTTGGGTAAATGATTTTGGCCTGCATTTTAGCTGTGACTTGATGTGTGATTGCTACCCACAGTTAAAGGTTGTTCTTATGCTTTACTACAGCAGCGTTGCTGGTGCTGCCACGTGCTGAACGTCGCTGTGCTGACCCTGCTGTCTTTGCCTCTTTCTGAGTATCAACCAGATCATTCAGCTCACCTGAAGTTTATTTTCTGGTGCAGTTGGAGCTCTGAGCAGACCCAGAGTGTGCTGCAAGGAGTGCAGTTGTGCTGCTGTGTTTTGATCACTCGCACTTACGTACACGTGTGTCTGGATGCTTTGTGCAGAGCAGCACGTGGAGCCTGGCTGTGCTCCTGGCTGGAACGTCCTGCTTGTTATCTGTGCTTCCTGCTTGGTTTTTGTTTGGTTGGTTTTGTTCAAGGCTGATCTTGCTTCAAAAACGGTTGCATACAAACACGATGTCTCCTTAGAATTGCAATAAACGCCACCTTATTTCAGGAAAGGTTTGGATGGGAATTAGAAGATTACCTGTTATCCTGAGTGGCTCTCAAAGCAGAGGAGCTGGGCGGTGAGCTGAGGCATCTCAGTGGCACGACTTCCAAAGGTTTGTTTTGAAGTGAGGCCGCACGGGGTGCGATGGCACGCAGAGCAGCGCAGCTCCTGGCAGCATGCAGGCGTGCTGCCAGCTCAGCATCGGCCGTCACAGAGCTGCCCGGTCTCAGGCTTGGTGTAGCCCATTCCAGACTGGACTGATGCTCTGTTTGGGGTTCTGCTGCTCCCTTGGATGCCCTCATGGCCGTAATGAGAGCAGGATCTCCCGGGGGTGCTGGCACGTGGCCGTCATACACTGAAGACTCCTCCTGTGCCACCATTTACAGAGATGTGTTACTGGATTCGTGTAAACCTGTATGTGCCTCTTGTGAAACTAGTTCAGCGTCGCTAGATTGTTCCTCCTGATTTGGGCAGGATCAGGTGTCTGGCACTTCTTGCTACGCAGAGCTCATTCTTTAGATATGCAAGTGGGCTGTGCACATCTTACTTTTTAATCAAGGGACAGGCTCCCAAAACAGCGCTGCAGTGAGAGCATCGCGCTGGGAGCAGTGCTGAATGTCAGAGCAGAGTTTGTTCCAGATGCTCGCTTTTCAGCTCTGTGGATCCATTCTTCATACTTCAGGGTTTTGCTGTGTGCAGAGGCATTGGTTTTTATTCTTTGCTATATCAAAAAGTAGTAACATGAAAGGAAACGCAGTGCTGCTTTTTTTCCTGTAGCACCACTTCCCAATAATGAGGCTTCTCAGGAGTTGGTGTGATAGGAAGCGTAAAACCAACAGTCGTGTGGCTTTTTGGGTGGTGGTTCTTCAAAGCCCTGTCTGTGGAGGTGGTAATTCCACAGAGGAATGGCGATGGACTCTGACGGGGGGAGGACGTGCAATGGCAGTTTCCAGTTAAAACAAATACGTCTGTACCTGCCTGCTGAGGCACAGCACTTGTCTGTGCTTCTGCCTTGTTTCTTCACAGCCTCCATCTCACTGCAGGTTGAGCCGCATCCTGGAGGCGCTGGGCAGGAACCCTGCTGCCATGGAGCGCTGTGCAGAATGGGCTCTGTGTCGTCGGGCCGGGCTGGGAGCAGCGCTGTGCCATGCAAAGCACCTGCCAGCTCTGCCCAGCAGCAGGTGCCTGGCGGTGGGAGCTGGTTCCTCCTTCCCTGAGAGCCTCCCAGCTTCTCGGCGCGTCCCTCCGGCGCTCTTACTTTGCATATCCCCTCAGATGTTTGGATAAATTGCATTTAGACCTGCTTTCCACCCACCCGGTTTGTTCAGCTGCTGCCGGGCACGGCCTGCTTGGGGCTGCAGGTGGGAGGTGGAGGCTGTCCTTGTGCCTGGCCCTGTGGCAGTGCCCCAGCTCCTGCCCTGCATGGCCGCTTCTTCCAGCTGAGGAGCTCCAGGTGGAACCGCAAGATCAGAGCTCTGAGTTTAGTTTGCAGCTGTTCTGCAGCTTGTGTTGCCAGTAGCAACTTCTTGCTTGAATGTGCTTCAAGGCATCCAGGGGGAGATGGCTTCATTTGGCTGCTTCCCCTTCCCAGGCATTAAAGAAAGATCCTTGCTGGGGCTCTATTTAAAAACAAAACAACCACAGACAGCAGCAGTGTCTTCATGGCTGCTTTGTGTCCTATGAACTGGGGTCCTTAAGCACTTGTCAGCTGCCACAGGGTTTTTTAAGTTGAACGTCTGCAAAAGGTGTTCTGCTCTGGTGAGCAGAAAAGCTCTAATTGCAGAGTGTTGCTGCCTTAGTTCTTGAGATGTGCTGCCTAATCTGCTCTGTAATCACCTCCAGGCTTTTTATGCCCAGGCCTCAGCGTTTTGGCCTCCTTTTCCCTGTGTCTGGAAACAGAATGTTATCCTTCATGGGGCGCCCTGGGGCTGTTCAGAGGGGATGCGTGGTGTCAGGGTGGATGCAGCCCACTCCTCCGTGCCCATTTCTTACCTGGTGTGTGCTTCGGAGGCTTTGGGATTTGTTTGCTTGTGCCTAATGGAGTTATGTGAGATGGGTTTGAGCCTCATTCGGCAGCAGGATGAGGTGGGAGAGCCTGGAGCTTGTGGGGATCCACAGGAGGAAGTCCTGGGTGGGAGAAGCAAAGTGGAAGGGAGCTGTGGAAGCTCCCTGCATATCAGAGCAGATGAACGGGGTGAGATGCTGATCCCACGAGCACACAGAGCTGCCTTCCCACTCAGGGGGGTTTAGCTCCAGCCCCGCGGTGTTTTTTCTGCTGGTGCTATTCCTGATAGCAGGCATTCTTAAATCACAGGAATGCAGTTCCCCCGGGTGAAGGAGCTTACCTAATGGTGCAGGAATGGTTCTGTTGTTAAAGTTGGTGTCATGGAGCCAACGCCGAGGGTTTGCATGGAAGTTTGGGTTTTTCTGTTTTCTCTCTGATGCTTGCAGGCATATTCAAGGTCCCTCACGTATCTCTCCTAGTGGGAACCAAGAACTGGAATAATGTCTTAGCTTTCACCTGCTTCGGCTTTTATTTCAGACTCTGCCATTATTTCCTTCTGTAAGTTTTCTGAAGAAACCAGGCTGTGGGCACTTCTTCTCCCTGCTCACAGGCAGCCTCCTCTCACTTCTCCTCCACAGTCACTCTCCATAGCAGGCGTCCCTCACTGCTGCTCTGAAACCAGTCCTGTGTGTGCTCTGCAGGTGGGAGTTCTCTGCCTTCCTCAGGAGGACCCTTTAAATTCTGGGTGATTGAAGCAAACCGTTTCCAGCTCCTCCTTCCAAGTTTGGATGAGTGTGACAGAGGCCTACACCTAATGCTTAATTTGCCCTTGATGTAACACTGTGTTGTTACCAGAGCTTTCTTCCCCTTTACTCCATTTTTAACCTGTTGCTTCTTAGGGTTCTGTTGCATTGCAGTGCAGGGTTTAAGCAGGCTGAAAGCAAGACATCTGTGGTTTTGAGTCAGCCCTGAGAAATGGTTCGGCACCAGGATGAATGGCATCTCCAGTTGCAGCAAAGACCCCATCAGTGCCAGTGTTGAAGTATTGCCAGGTAGAAAGGATTAGCTTCTGTTTGTGCATCTATGCTATTTTTTGTCTGCATCTGACAATGCAGATCATGGGGGGGAATCAAGGGCCAATGTTAAATTTTTGTTAGAATATTTCTCTCTGTATTTTCTTACAAATACTTGAAATATCTTCGTCTGTAGGAGGATGGCATTATAATGCAAACAATTGCTGAAGAGCCATCAAGCAGCTTGTCAGTCCCTGATTTCCATAGGTGCCCTGCCTGCAGTTCTTCCTGTCTCAGCACCTGTTTCTCTGTGGTCTTGTGCCCTCCTCCTTGCTGTGCTCTGTCAAAATTCCCCCCAGCTCCTCCTTCCCAGGGTGGTTAAAGGGAAAGGATCCTGAAGAGCACAGCCTGCAGGAGGTGCCCCTCTCCCTGATCTGCTCATAGGATTTCATGGCATGGCCTCACTTTGGCCTTGTAGGTGCTGGACTCGGTGCTGCTGTGCTGCATTGGGGCTGTGCTGCCTTTAGCCCGAGGGCTGAGGGTTGGCAGCAACACGAGCTGCGCCATTCGTGTCCCAGCTGAACGTGGGCTGCTGTCTTCTGCCCTGCCACAGTAATGACAGCACTGCTCTGCAGGTGTTTCCCTATGGAAGCTGTAACACCGTTGCTCTCTTCACAGCTGCTGCGTATGAGGAGAAGCTCAGAGGTGTATTCTTGTATTCTTTGTGCATCTTGTCATCTTGTGGGGACCTCGGGGCTGCTTGGGGTGTCCTCAGGAGCGTTTAGCATCACTAACACAGGGCCAACTCACCAACTCCTTTGGTGTGCACCCAAACATTTCTGTGCTGGGAACATCAGGTCCTGCACCCTGCTGGGCACGGCTGCCTGCTCTGCGGTGCTGCTGGGCTCCTGCCGCGCTTCCAGATAGCAAGGTCTGTGCACAATGACACCTTTCTAACAGGCACAGAAGAATTTGTTTAATTAAGCTTTTTAGAAATGATACCAGGCTGACCTTGACATTGTCTCTTCACCTTGAGGGGATTTGCTGCTGTATTCTGCACTGTTGTTGGCTGTAAGAAGCACTGGAGTAAATGACTTTCCCGTTGGTGCACAGCGCAGTGTGGGCTGTGAGCACCCGTTGTGTTCTGTAAGTCCCTGTGAGAAGGCAGGACTCTAACAAGGGAATGAGGAGAGCACTTTTATTTTCAACTCTTTTTTGTGTGTATTCTTTTTACAATCTTTGGAAAAGTAAACAAGCAACGAGCACAAAAAAACCCCACTTTCAGAGGTTATGAGTGCTATGAGTATCTTCACGTGGCTGCTGAGCCGCGGCCTGGTGGACCTCAGCACTTCTGTTGGTTGGCCAGGCTGGGCTCTTCCCACAGTCCTGGCACTCGGGGGGGATCTCTGCATGCCTGCATCCTCCTCATTGCTGACGCTTTGCTCTGCTTTCTTCCAGCTTCCAGCATGTCTACAGATGGCAGCTTCGGCACAGGCAGCAGCAGCGATGCCCAGCAGAGCCTGCAGTCCTTCTGGCCCCGCGTCATGGAGGAGATCCGCAACCTCACAGTGGTGAGTGCCTCAGTGGCTCACATTGCTTCTAGAGAACCCGTGGTGGATTTCAGAATGCCTTCAGGTGTAGCTGCCTTCGGTGCTTTGAGCTAACAGGAGGTTGAGGGATTTCGGATGGTAACTCGTGCTGTTCTGCTGCTTCTCAGCTTCAGTAATACGAAATAAGTGACGAGAGTTACTCCCATGTAAGAGCACTCTTAATCCCCCTCTTTCCCCTTTGTAAATTCAAACATCTGGCTATTGGCAGACGGTGGCAATTTTGTGAATGAATTTTTGGTTTTCATTTTCTGTATAGAACAGTTATGCTCTTTCAGAACCGCCTCCTTTGACAAGCCTGAAGTCTTGAAAATCACTTGAATGCCAAGTGCATCGTTATCACGTGCCTTATTAATTTAAAGGCATTTCATTAAAAAAGAAAAATCACATAGAGGCTGAGAATAGGAATTGGACTAAGTAGCTTCTATTTTTCCATCCCCAGAAGAGAAGTGCCTGGGAACGAGGGCATATAATAAAAATTGGCTTTTGGAGAGAGATGGAGAGATGGCTGTGATGCAGCAGTCCTGCAGGCACATCCTGAGCTTGTAATGCAAGTGAAAACAAAAGAGCCCCAATTGAAGACGGGCTGTTCAAAGTGAAAACCCCAATCCAGTAGTTGGAAGATAAGCTGCTTTTTTTTTCTGCCTGCGTGCAGACAGTTGGTTGAAGAAGCAGATGTAGAATTTTGTATGCATAACTAGAATTAATTACTTTCTTCTTTTACGGCGTTGAATTCTTGTGTTCAAGAGCTGTAGTTTGTCTTTGTCTCCACATGAAAGGGGTTTATTCCACAGCTTATCAAATACGGGCAGCTTAATTTTTAACTGCTCTGTGAAGCTATTTATCGCATGGCAAGGTAGGAAGTCGCTGGAAATTAACTGGAGACACTGGAGCAGAGATAGCAGGGAAAAGGATGAAGTGCAGAACATCTGAACGCGGCCGTTCCCAGCACAACCAAACCCTGGCACCCGTGTGCATCTTGTGCTGCCATGCATGTGGATGGAAGCAACCTCGGAGCTCACCTGTGTGTGCTGTGCTGTGCAGCTGAGAGCAGCTGTGACGGAGGCCTGCTTTGCACAGCTCTCTGCTTTGGGGCGTTTGCAACGTGCTGCCACTGGCTGAAATGCAGGGGAGGAAAAAGGGAACTGCTCTGTGAGAGCTGGGATCACTGGGCTGCCCTCCATCCTGCAGGACAAGGGGCTGTAGGTTTCTCTTGGAGAAGCAGGAGGCAGAATGAGGCTGAAACAAGCATTGCAGCTCCGCAGAGAGCTAGAAGTGGCCTGGGAAAGTATTGAGACCTAATTTGGAAAAAAGAAAAGATGAAGAATTGGTTCTACAGTTCGTTGTGCTGGGCAGTAGCCAGTAGTGGTCACGCTTCCCTTCACCGTGGTACTTGCGTATTGATTTTGATTTATGTGACATTTGCCTGTCAGCCTTAAAGGAATAAAGGCTCTTTAAATTGCTCTGGTTTCTCCCGCTGTCTCTGCTCTGAAGGTTTTAATAGCATTGCACCTTGTGCAGTGCACTTGTAGCTGCAAGCGTCTGCTTGCACTTCTCTTGTTCTTGGAAGTGAAATAATTAGCACCGTTACGAGTTTCACCAATTAGGAATTTTGTCGTCATCTTTCCTTGAGGCCCGAAGCTCTGGGGCACTTTAAAAAGGAATGAGCTTAACAAAATAAACTCAAGGAAATCTCTGGGATGTTTTTTCATGCCCTAGCAACCTCCCGACTTGTTTATGTGATGGTGGCTGGTGGGAAGTGCCACCCTGATGTGTGTGTGCTCAGCACAGCTCCTGCCTGCTGCCCTCTCCCAGCCCTTCCACACCAGGCCTCTGCCCTCCTGCTGCACGTACCACGTCCAAGATTCTCCCCACAGTGAGAACGCAAAGGTTTTGCTGTGTTCTAATACACATCTATCGTTTTCATACCTAAATTGATCACACACCCCCTGCCGGAGCGCTGGCTGTCCCACATACAGCTTCTGTACTTTATTTTAGTAGAAAATGGCATTTTCAGTATTTTTTTTTCCTCTTTTGTTTCTTTACCGTGTCTGGCAGTGCTCTCTTACCACGGAGAAGAGTTTGCTTTTACTTTTTGTGCCATTTCTGTGGAGAAGACATTTTGTAGAAGCCCCGTGTGCGCAGGGATTCTGCATCCTGGTGCAATGGACGTAACCTCACCTTTCTCCCTCTTTGAAGGGGCCCCTGCTGGCTGCACGGCGTGGATTTCTTGTTCTTCTGCACCTGCAGAGGAGGGCAGGCAGTGCTGCACTGAAGCTGCAGCTTCCCTCACCCCTTGCATCTTCTCAGGGCTTTGTGTTGGCGTCTCAGTGCATCTCTGTTGCTGAGCAGCCGCCAGCAGTGAGCAGGGAGGCTGATTCACTGCAGTGATGGCTTCCTCTCCTCGCTGCCTCCTAAGCCATCCTTACCCTGTTCTGAGTCAGCAGTTCCCTTTGCTGGAAAATGGCAAGGAATCCATTTAAATACAGGAGTAGACAAGGTTTTGCAGGGCTCTTGACACTAAAACTGATACTGGGGAGCAGGGAAGTGCAGGTAGGGCAGAGATTTCATCCTATGGCAATATAGCTCTTATTTGCCTTCATTTCCTCTAGTGAGTCCTTGCAAATTCCATTGCTTTCTCCGTCCTGAGGCACCTAATTGAATTAGTTGCTTCAAATACACATTTCTGCATCTATTTATAACTTTAGAAACATTCTGTTCTGCAGAAGGACTTCAACTTCGAGGTGAAACTGTAAATGCAAGTGTCTGACAGAGGGCTGAGGTACCGCTGTGCTGTGTGAAGTACAGGAAGGCAGCTGGGAATGCTCAGATCTGAGGAGGAGCTGCCCCACCTCAAAGAAAAGGAGTTGTTTCTGTCGAGTTTTAGCAGGTTCAGTTTCAAACAACAGCAATTTGTTTTACTTTTCTTACCTGTGTCTCAATTGTGGATCTCTCTGCAGAAAGACTTCAGGGTTCAGGAGCTGCCCCTGGCTCGGATTAAGAAGATAATGAAACTGGATGAAGATGTGAAGGTACCCTCATGGCTTCTGTCTTAAGTGTTTATGACCCTTTTGGTGGATGCTGTAGCTGTAATTCCTTGCAATTCATTACTTGTTATTGTCATTGTTTATCATTATTTTTAAGGTACTTTACAGAACAATTACTGGAATGCACCGTTAGCTGGCCTGGTGTAATTAAACTGAACTGGGGAAGCAAGATCACTTGGGATCTTTGCTGAAGACTTTTTCAATTCTGCTTTCTTTTGTTCAATACCAATCTGCTGCATAACTCTGGGTGTTTCCTGGCTGCTTGGCTTTTTTTTTCCTAGTGCTGATCCATCTTTTCTCACGTCTCCTTGTTTTTCTTGACTCTTCCTTTCACAAAGCTGTAGAAGGTTCACGTGGGCAGTGACAGCACTGAAAGGTGCTGTGCTGCTCTGTGGAAAAGTAGGGAAAAGTAGTAACTTAGGTAGGTACATTGGTTTGGTAGTGATACTCGAGCTGAATCTTTGACCTGGATCTGATAAAGTCAACTGGTGAAAGGTTGGAGGCATAAAAGGAAGGGGGGAGAACGGAGCGCGTGTTGAGTCTTGCGCTGCCCCAGCCCTCCTGTTTGTTTGAATAGCAAGAGGCCCTCAGACGTGGCTCTCCTAAGAGAGAAAAGAATGGTTTGCACTCTTATTCTCAATGTGACACCATCCTTCTCCTAGGACAGCCTTTAAATGTTAAATGAGAGTCAGAAAAAGGCGTGTGTTGTCTCCCTGTCCAAGGGAGCTATTCTGTCAGCCTGCAGCCACAAGGAACCCAACCCCCTCAGGTCCCAATTTATGTCTGAAGCGAGTGAGTGCCAGCTTTGTGATAATGAAGGGAAGGTGAGATTTAAGAGGGAAAAGAGTCTTTGGCATTCCTTCTGGTGTTATTTAAGAAGCCTGCACTGGGGATTCAGCACTAATGCCAAGCCAGCTAATAACGAAACTGCTCAACGTGAGCAAAACTTGAGCGAGATGCTTTTTAAGGGAAAGGAATTTGGTGAGGCGCATGGTCTTTATCTGTGTCTCCAAACCTCCTTTGCAATTTCTGCATTCATTTCAGATTATCTTAGTGTTACAACTATAAAGTAAGGGCCAGGCTCTCTTCAGCTTCTCGTTCAGAATCACTTGCGTGTGCCCAGCGCTGCCAGCAGAAGCTGCTGGGTGATGCCCACAGCTGAGTACAGCCTGGTGCAGCAGTTCAGAGCTGCTGGCTCAACACAACCCGACACGAAGAGGCAGCACCTGGCCAGGTGTGTGCAGCAGGCTGTGAAGACAAACTGCATGTGGTCAGTGCTCTTGGCACTGCGTCTGACTGGAGGCTCTTTGGGCTGTCAGACCGGGGATCTGATGGGGAAATTCCCCAAACTTCACTGTTAGGCAACACGGCCGTTCAGATTTGAGTAACGTTATGCAGTCACCTTGACTTTGCTGCATCAGAGTCTTGATAGTAACTTCAAAAAATGTGTGCATTTAATTACAGATGATTAGTGCTGAGGCCCCTGTGTTATTCGCCAAGGCAGCTCAGATATTCATAACAGAACTGACGTTGCGAGCCTGGATCCACACAGAAGACAACAAGCGCAGGACTCTGCAGGTAACAGCAGCTCCTACCTGGCCTTCAGCAGCTTCAGAAACTGTTTCCAACTTTTGTTTTCATAATAGGAGGCATGCTTTGTAAACAGAGGCTTCTATCACCAGGAACCTGGGTACAAAGCGCGTTGCCCACTGTGGTTGTGCTACCTAAGTGCTTTTTGCTTAACTTGGTTTTAAAAACAAACAACAGCCATATAAAGAAAGAAAAAAAAGCAGCAGCTGTCTGCTAATGGTGACCTGCTCTAATCCCTTAGGATATCTGTATCTGTCAGACTTCTGGCTGTTTTGTTTTTCAGCAGTAATTCTCCTAAGGCAGGCTTGTAGATGCTAGTTGGGGTCCAGAGATGAGAACAAAAATGGTTCCTCCTGCGCCCTGATGCAGGGATTGCCATAGTGGCAGGCAGACAAGTGTGATTCCAGCCCAAAGGCGTCCTGTTGGCTGGGTGTCTGACCACTGAATCCTCACTAATTGAGGCCAGTGCCAGTTCCTTAACCTGGATTTTAATGCAGTTACCATGGGAAGGGTGTATTTGATGCACAGAGCAAGGACAAAGCGCTGCGTAAGCAGCAAGTGTCGACTCAGGCATGTCCTGCTAACAACTTTCAAGCTGTTATTTCAGAGTTGCACTTAGATCCTGATCCTAATGTACAGGACCTTTAATTGACCCAGGTTTCAATTCAGGAGTGCTTTGCCTTCCCCAGCAGCTGCCATCGTAGAACAGCTGCTCTCCACATGGGCAGTGCAGTGCAGCTGCAGGAATGCAGTCTTTGCTTATCAACTATTTGGGAAAAAATGTAGAGTGGAGAGGTCTGAGTTATGGGAGGAAATTGGATTGAGCCCAGCCCTCAGCGCGGAGAACGGAATGGGAGAGACATCTGTTCAGTCAAAGGTTTCTTCCTGGTGAAGATCCTGCTGTAATATATGCTGCCCGTGGAACAGAAGAGATGTCTCTCTTGTGCTTTCTGCATGATCATTGTTTGCACTTAAATGCCAAGGCAGAGCAGGGTTTGGAAATGTCAGCTAGCCTGAGATGTGAGGATGGATGGTCGTAATGTCACCACGCGTCAGGCAGCGCAGGCAGTGCTGTCCCAGCTCCTGTTCATAGGAATGCTTTACAAATTTACCTTCCGTTAATGAAAACGAGGCTTTTAAGAGCTTCTTGAGTCAGCCCTGCTTTTTAAGGTGGTTTGCTGGGATGTTAAACTGACACAGAGCGTTTTATTTTTTTTCTTTTTAAGACTTTCAATCTTTTTTCACTTTTTTTTAACCGTGGGGTTGCTGGAGATCTTAAGCAAACCCTGCAGTGGTGCCTTCTGCTGGCTGCCCCTATTCAGGTTGGCAGCACTTTGACCTAATGCTCATGTTTGGATTTCTTCTTTTGGTGAAGATACGAAAGAAAAGTTTCTTTAGATAAACTTTTTATGCTTATATGCATGAAAGCAGCTTGGAGAAGCTGTTTGCCTTGCCAGTGTTCTTAGAAGCTCACTGGCTCTTTGGCATCCTTTCCCTGATACCTTTGGCCACTTTGCTAACTCTGTGTTTTAATCTTGCTGCTTTCTCTTCAGAGCCCTTCCACAGGCTGCATTTTGTTCTCTCTCCATCTCTCAGGATTCCCCTGCCCCAAATAAGACCCTGTAATTCTGTGTCTTTTTCTCACCAAACGCGTAGGTTCCACCTAGGGGAGGTTCTGTAAAAGCTGAAGTGTAATGAACACCCCTGATTGAAAAGCTCTGCTTTGTTTATCTCGTGACAGAACATGCTTCTAAAGCTGAAAAGTGCTTTTTCTTGTTGCTGTTGTAGAGGAACGACATTGCCATGGCAATTACAAAGTTTGATCAATTTGACTTTCTGATTGACATCGTCCCAAGAGATGAGCTGAAGCCTCCAAAGCGTCAGGTGAGACAGAGCAGCTGCCCTGTTGGCTGTCCTTTCCGTGGGGTGGTTTCACTCTGATTGTTAGGGAGCTGATAACGAGTACAGAGTCTCAGATTTGGACACGTTTGTGCCCCTTTGTGCATGTTTCTTCTTCATAGTGTTCAGATCCTTAATTGTTTTTGGTGCAAATAGAGGGGTGATGACAGAAGCCCGACTCGGGCACTTACCGAAGCAACAGAAACATTTCTAAACAGCTCTGAGAACAAACATTAGCACTATTAAAAATGTTCAAAACTGTGCTGACTCTGCATCCTTTGGCTGCCATGAAGCAACCCAGGCAGCTTTGCCCAGCAGTGCCACCTCCCGCGTCCTTCAGGGCAGTCGTTGCTGCTGTAAACATCCTTGACTGGAAGCTGTGAGGTGTCAGCAGGAGCTTTCAGTCGGATGTTTACAGCTGCAGGCTGCTGCAGTCACCTGGGTGCTGCTGCCCCGTGGAAGCCAGCAGATGTTGCTCCAGGAGCCCTTGTTGCCCTCGTGTGCCGGACGGTGCCCAAACTGCAGCGCGGTGGGGCTGCAGCTCAGTCGTCCCCTGGCTCGCCGTTGCTTCACGTGCACAGAGGCAGATCCTGCACTCGGCTGGGCTGTGTCTGCCTGCTTCCTTCAGCTGGTTTTCAGATGCCTTTGGAGGTCTTTGAAAGGTTCAAGGTGGTCTTTAACATGTCTTCTTTGAGTGCTGCTGGAAAGACTGGAGAACTGTAAAACAGCTTCCTGGCAAGTGCTTTACTTGGAAGCTTTGCTTTGATGTGTTTCTCGTATTCCATTACAAGTCAAACATACAAGAAGTACCTGCTGTGAACAGAGATGCTGCTCCCATGGTAGACCTGGAGTTTGAAAGCTGCTGTTTCACTTTCCGTCTGGAAATGACAGAATTGTTTGGGTTGGAAGGGACCTTTAAAGGCCAGCTGCTCCAGCTGCCTGCAGACAGGGACCCTCGCAGCTCCATCAGTGCTCACAGCCCCCCAGCCCGGCCTTGGCACTCTCCAGGAGCACAGCACCACGCTCCTCTAGTGACCAGTGCCACTCCTCACCACCTTTGCTGTACAAAAGACTTCCTTGTATCCAATCTACATCTCTCCTTTTTTAATGAGAAACCATTTCCCTTGCTCCTATCCCAGCAGACCCTGCTATGACCTCACGGTTCTACTGAAGTGGCTGCAGTGGGAGCTTGCCTGTATCTGGTTTGATACAGAGATGCCAAAAGATTCACTCTGAACACAGCTGACTCATGAGAAATGCTGCTAAGGGGAGAAGTCTGATGGAGAAATCCAGCGTAGGTTGGGACTTTTCAGTGGAAAATATTTCTCTTCTTCCACGGTGCTGAAGAATTGCTGCCCATAGGCTGACAGGCTGCCCTTTTTGGCTGGGGGTGCAATCTGTGCTTTAGCACGGGCAGGACTGTTTGACAACTTGGTGTTGCTTACGAGGAAGAGCTGAGGAGGGAACCATGACTGTTATGTTGCTCTGGTAACTGAAGCTACGGCTTGGAAATACAAGATGCCCAACGATGGGGTACAGCCTACTTCATGCAGATTTGTATTAAAAGTCATTTTTGCGTGTAGCAAGGAAAATTTGAACCTGGAATAGATGCTGATGTCCTTAATTGAGGGTTCAGCGAGCAGCAGGGTTGGAGCTCTATAGAAATAACGTACCTAAGGACTGGGCTTTACAGAAACAGCCATGGCTCTTCAGTGCTTGCAGTTTTATGACTCGTTGGAGAATTGTCCTGTTGAATACATACTTACATTTATTATGAATCCCTCCTGTAGAGGATTTGATGAAGCCAGCAGGAATGAATTGTGTGCTGCTGTGTGAAGGAGGTGCTGTAAGTGGCCGTGGTACTGCGGGGTGCTGCTGGGAGCCAGGCTCAGTCACTTCTTCATTACAGCCAGCTGCCAGCAGCGTAACCTTTGGGGTGTCATTTCCTGGTATGCTGTTAGAAACCTGTTGAGTGGCTCAGAGTCCCTCTGAGAGCTGAGCACTGAAGGGAAGGGGCTCTCCTCCCCACGCCTGATGCCCATCTGGGCAACGTACACTAGTTTTGTTTAATGGAAGTTCTTGTTCTGCCCAGCTGGATGCACTGAAGGTAAGCCATGAGCGAGCCTCTTCTGATGCAGGGGAGTGGAGCAGACTTGTGTGACGTGGCCCCTACCATGCTGTAGCACGTGTAAACATCCTACACTCTCAGCTGTGAACTCGAGGTGGCTGGGAGAGGATTGTTTACGCCTTCTGCCATGGAGTGAACGTCTGGTGAGCTGTGTCTCCTGCTGGGCTCAGGGTCCAGTGCTCCTCTGGGAGCTCAAGAGGTGCGAATCTCGAGCGTTCACCGCTTGTCACATAGCATAATCTCCCCAGATCTACTTTGCATTAAATATCTTGAGTTATAAGGCGCTTTTCTCTTCCAAAGGCATCCACAGATGAAACAAGATGGCAGTACAACAGCCTGTGCTCCTGACAGCAAGCTGGAGCAGAAGCTGTTGTTCTTTGCACTCATGAGATATCCCTGCTTCCTGCAGAATCAGGCTGTCAAGCCATGACACGAGACAAAGTTGTTATTCTGAAAAAGCTGGATTTCAATAAGTAGACCAAGGCCCTGCAGTGTGCATCGAGTGCATGGCTTCTGTTCCCAGGGGTTTGACATCAGAGCTGGGCTAAGATCTGTGTTGGGCACGTGGGCTAAGGAGAAGGCTTTGCAGGCAGATGAGGCTTTGCAGGTCTTCCTTGTGCATTGCAATTCATTCTGTGCTAAGAAAACCAGTGATGATGGAATTTGCTGATGAGGAGCTGTGTGGATTTCAGCTATGGTCATTTTATACGTTTGCTTCTCATGATGAAATTGGTGACTCCATTATTATGTGTAGGATACTGGAAATGGTTTTGATTTCCTTCCAGCTTCATAAATGAGGAAACCTCATTTGAGTGATCGTTTTTGAGTCACTTAAGCTGTTAGAAAGGAGGCACTGGAGGCACCTTGGTGCTTGTGGGGGTGCTCAGCGGTGGCTGGGCTGGGCAGCTGGGGGTTCCCTCCCCATTTACCCACTCTGTGCTGTGCTGCAGGAAGAGGTACGTCAGGCTGTGACCCCGGCTGAACCCGTGCAGTATTATTTCACCCTTGCTCAGCAGCCTGCTGCAGTGCAGGTCCAGGGGCAGCAGCAAGGACAGCAGACCACGACATCTACAACCACCATCCAGCCGGGGCAGATCATCATCGCACAGCCTCAGCAGGGGCAGGTGAGTGTGGGCAGAGCTCGGGGCTGTGCAGGGTGCTGGGGATCCTTGGCTCACTGCAGTGTCCTGTTCTCCCTGCTGCCAGCAGTCAGCAGTGCCACCGAAACGGGTTTTCCTTTGCAGCGTAAGGAGCTGAATTGTGTTGACCCAGTGAGCAAAGCAGAAATATCCTTTGAATCTCCGTGCTGGAGGTTATGTTGTTTTGTGGGAGTGCAGTGCACTGTTAGCCCAGAGTGAGTCACAACAGCCATAGGACACATTCTGTCTTTTCCACATGCAAGTGAAGCTGTAATGGTTTTTGAGCTCTGCAGTCAGCGGTGTTATATTGTTACAGTGTGGTTTTGTTGGTTTTTTCCCTTGCTCTCCCTGCCTTTCTTGATAGCATATTGAGTGCCACGGTGAGGTTAGCACAGCACCCTTTGCTTGTCTGGATGAGCACTGCTCTGGCAGGAGGCTGCCCTTGCCAGGTGCCGACCACGACACCGCTGCGATCTTCAGAGCTCTGAGATCTCAGTTTGAAATGCATGCATTTTCTTGAACATATTTGGCACGTCTCTCGAGTTCCTGTGCCAAAGAGTGGCTATCTGCAAAACCAGAACACAGGACTCCCCCTTCGTAGTGTTGTTACAGGGTGTGCAGGATGCCCTAAAGCCAGGTTCACGCGGGTCTTGCTGCGGTGACTGAAGCATCAGTGAGGAGCAGCGGGGCTCAGCAGCAGCCCTGCGGCCTCAGCCCTGTTCTGAACGCAGCCCTGTGCCAATGCAGGTGGGAGAAGGCCAGCAGGTGCAGATTGTGCAGGCCCAGCCGCAAGGACAGAGCCAGCAGGCGCAGAGCGGGACGGGGCAGACCATGCAGGTGATGCAGCAGATCATCACCAACACGGGGGAGATCCAGCAGATCCCGGTAAGCCGTCGTGGGGCTGGGAGTGAGGTGTCTGCAGCTGCTTCAGCGTGGGGCTGCGTGTGTTTGTGTGCCTTCAGAGCTGTGCAAGGAGGTTAGGGCTGCGCGCGTTTCCTGCGCCGGGAGAGAAAACGAGCCGGGTGTGACATGAAGGGGGAAATAAACTGAGGCCGTGCAGTGCCAGCACCACTGCTACCCACGGGTGGAATAGAGTTATTAGGAGGCAGGACAGAAAGCACTTCCTGCATAAATTAGTTCTCCACGACAGCGTGCTTGCAGTAAAACCTAATTAACCTGTGTTGCCTTTACTCGGTTCTGCCTCTGCAACCCGGAGCCACGGCCTGTCGGACCGAGTGGGAAAAGTGCTGCCTGTGAGTCATTAACCAACTCCTACGTTGCAAAAAAGCATTTCTACAACGTAGTTTGAGCTGATGGCAGGGATGGCTTTGTGCTACCAGGAGATTTCTTCTCACTTTCACGTTAACGTAAGGCTGCTGTGCCCTAAGAATGGGATTTTGAGTACACAGCGAGCCGAGAATTCTGGCACGTGTCCTGGGTAAACGCGTGGCTCCCAAAATGTCATTTTCCCCCTCTTTGTAGCTTGGAATGACAACAAAGCTGAGCCTTTTGGTTCCCACCTGAAAAATTTCACACGCCTTAAAATAAAAATGGATAAAATCCTTCCAGTTCCACGCACTCAACCAGCAGCACTGGGGTCAGACAGGTGACCACGATGAGCGCTTCGCTTTGTCTGTGATTCCTCTTGCTGTTAGGAGGCTGAGCAGCTGCGCAGAGCTGATCTCACACAGGCTGAGGTTTGCTCAGCATCCCTTTGGCAGATGTTTGTGCTTTGACAGAGCATCTCGAGGAAAGCGAAGGCTCTGCGTGCTGCCACATTCTCCCAGTTCACTTCCCTCTTCTCATCTCTGCAATCCTCAGCTGATTCCTACACCAGGTGTTGATCAGGAGGGACAAGACTGCTTGCCAAACGTGCTGCTTTACCACCAGCAGCCTTTTTCCTTCTCCACGTTCTTCACCGCCTTTCTCTTGCATTTTTGTCCTCCTTTTCTTAATGGGAGTCTCTCTTGGATGCTTCTTAAAAGCATTTTGGATAGAGATCTCTACCCCTGCCTGGGTGAATCTGGCATAACAGAGCAGCAATAAAAGAAGTTCAGGCTTGTTTTGCAGTCATCCCCAGTGCAAGCTGTAAGTCCCTGTAGGAAAGCGACCTGGAGATTTGCAGGGGAAAGAATTCTTTATAAAGCAGCTTTGGAAGGGGCTGAAGCATTCTGCAGGAAATGCCATTCTCCACCCAGGTGATGCTGTTTTAATTGATGGCGTGCTTTATGAACGAGCCACTGGAGGCTTTTTAATTAGCACCTGCTTTTGGCCAGGAGAATTCTTCCACCTCATCTTGCCTGGCAGCACTGGGGCTCGTGGCCATCCCCAGGCACTGCTGGGGTTGCAGTTGGGATGGAGCTGCCTGAGTGGGCATCTGTTGTGCTGGGGATGCTTGGGCTCCTCGTGAGCGTAAGGCGATAAAGCAGAGTACCTCAGGAGGGGTGTTACAGTGAAATACAGTTCTCACTCCAGTACCTAGGAGAAGTGCTGCCTTGACAGTAATTAATGTGATTCCTCTTAATTGCAGCATGTTGAAGAACCACAGCCTGTGCTGGAGGAAACACCTTTCCCTTTGCTTCCAGCAAATGAAATGCAGCAGAGCAGGAGCCACACGGCCAGCATGAGAGCAGAGTGCCTGGGAGCACGCTGTGTGGATCCACAGTTACAGTCCTTGCTCTGCTCACTGCTGCTCTCTGTTCTGCTCTCTTTCTGCTCCTCTTTTATCCTTTCTCCCCTAAATCTCCTTCCTGTCTTGGTGCAGTCAGTGTTACCTTCTGGCAGCTCTTTTCACTCCGCTCTCTGGTAGCGTTCAGCTCCAAATCTTCCTTAACACAAACGCAAAAGGCTGAAACACAGAGCTGGTAGCATCTGCCAGCATAGGAGTGGTGGGAGAACGGCCTCAAACAAACGGAGTAGAGCTGGAAGGAAGGCAGGAAATGCATCCATTACAGAGCAGCCGTTTGTTTGCCCACGTGAATTCTGTGTTCAATTTCATCCATGCCTTCGCCTTGACCTCGCGGGGCGAATCTTTGGAGGTTGCCCTCATTTCTGGAGGAACTGTGTGTGAATTGCTTCCATCGCTGCTGGGAGCGTGGTTGAGATGGAAGCAGGACGCTGCAGTGTGGAGAACTTGCTCAGCAGGCAGAGCTCAGTGCAGAAATGGAGTCTTTGCTGAGATGTGTGCTTGCGTGGGGTCCATTTGCTCATGAAGTAACGTTGGTGGGTTCAGCAGTGGGAGGCAGCAGGGCTGTGTGCCAGCAGCTCCTGGTCCCTGAGCGGTGCTCAGGTGCTCTGCACGCCTTCCTTGCCCCTCCTTAAAAACAAAAAGCACCTCAAAGTGTTTTGGATGTAAGGCACCGTAAGGCTGTGAACCAAAACGTTCTGAAGTTCAGCAGCGCAGCACCAGGAGCTCGATGGCAGTCAGCCACGTGGGGACCTTTCCATCGCCTCTCGGCGTGTCCCACCAGCTGCCTCTGTCACAGACTGAGAGCTGAGGGCACTAAGATGGCTCTGCTCAGACCCCTCTCCCCAGGCATCCAAGATCCAGGCTGTAGGAAATAAATGAACTTGCATTGGAATGTGACACAGCGCCGACACGAAGCGTTGGCTTTGCCAGGTAAAGAAGAGTTGCGCTTCAGGGCTGCAGATATCGTGGTATACTTCTGTCATCTCTGCTGCCTTCAATGATTTGAAAATGTCCTGTGTTTCCTTTATGTTTTTGGCAGCACGCAGTAGGAGTGTCATGACGTGCAGCTAGCTCGGAGGAGCCTCTGTGTGTGAGATGAAAGGCAGAGCAGTCGCTGCATTCTGGTGACTGAGAGGGAAAACAAGTGTTACAGTGCTCCAAAACGTAGCACTCAATAAGCTCTAGCTACTAACTGGCCTTTTGTCCTGGAGAAGGAAGCGTTGTGCTTCTTCAGGTTCTCCTTGCAGAGCCTGGAGGAGTTCTGGGGACTTGGCTCTTGCCCTGTGCTAATTCCTCTCCCCCACCGCTGCCTGGCTGGAGCTCCCCAGTCTCATCTGTTACCCGGCTTCTGTTGTGGAAACGAGAAGGCAAGTTGGTGTGTTTCAGGTTACACAGTTACCTGTTTAATTTTCTTTCCCTGCCCCCTCCGCTTGTCTCCAGGTTCAGTTGAATGCTGGCCAGCTGCAGTATATCCGCTTAGCCCAGCCTGTGTCAGGCACCCAGGTAGTCCAGGGGCAGATCCAGACGCTTGCAACCAATGCCCAGCAGGTATGCGCTCCGACAGCAGGGCTGGCCTTTGCTGTTATGGTGTTGTTCCCTAACTCCTGAAACTGCAAACTCTGGTGGAATTTACCAACTCTTGGGCCAGGGATCCCGAGTTTCTTTTCTTCCTGTTTACCTTCATCAGAATAACGAAGCGAGGAGCGCAGCGGATGTTTCCCTTACCTGTGTGTGAAAGCTGCATGCTGTGTGTGTGTGTCTTGCTGCATAAAGCCCTTGCTGCTTCTGAGCTGGCTGCAGGTTTATCAGCCTTTTCTTTACTTCTCCTGGTTGGGTGAGGGAGGAGCAGCAGCTCTCAAAGCTCTGCAGCAGTGACACATCAAGGCCAGCCCTGCAGCCGCCAGGTTGGCTCGTGATCTCTGGGGCTGCTCGTTAAGGGATTCTGCTCTGCCTTCAGAGGACAGGAGGGCTGCTGCTTCCCTGACATCCTGGAGGCCACAGGGTTCTCCTTGTGAAAGCCAGACGTGCTGTGTGAGCACTCAGTCCCTGTCCTTTGTTCCTGACTGCAGTCAGGACCAACGTGAGCACAGGCTGCTGCCCTGCGATGTGTCCCCCCCCCCTCACGGCGGGGCAATGAAGCTTGCAAGAGTGGAAAAGCTCTGGAAGGGCTGTGGCAGGATGTTGTCTGTGGGTTCTGAGCCTCTCCAGAGCTCCGTCCCTGACTGCCCTTCTCTCGTCCTCGCAGATCACGCAGACAGAAGTCCAGCAGGGACAGCAGCAGTTCAGCCAGTTCACAGACGGGCAGGTAAGAGCTCAGGCCGTGTTGGTGCTGCATGCCTTCAAAGTCCAAGCTGGAAGGACTGTTTGGGTTTGTCCTGGCAAATCAGCTCTTCAGGTAAAGCGCTGCAACCCAGCCAAACCTGAAGCAGAGGCAGAATAATGGATCCTGGCCACTCCTGATGCAGGTGGATTCCTCAGCGCTCTGTTTGCTCCAGATTAACGCAGCCCATTTTAGTCCTGACCAGCTTTCAGATACAGGTCTGAACGTTTAGCCTGGCTGTTGTGTGAGCAGCACGAGCTCAGTCTGAGCATCAGGAGTGGACAGAACGATGTACGATGCAGTGATAAATGTCCGATTCACGGCCTGGTTCCGGGGACAGATTTCGCACTGAGAGCTGCTCAGGCTTCGTGCCCACAGCGGCGCTGCGTGAGAACTGACCTCCCTTCCCCTCCTTCTGTCTGCCAGCAGCTCTACCAGATCCAGCAAGTGACCATGCCTGCAGGCCAGGACATCGCGCAGCCCATGTTCATCCAGTCCACCAACCAGAGCTCGGATGGCCAGGCCACGCAGGTGGCGGGGGACTGAGCGGCGTCCCTGTGTGGGGATGCAAACTCGTGCCAGCTTCACCCGGCCCGGTCTGAGGAATGCGTTGCTTCTGCGTCTCCGTACTTGACAGTGAGCCTCCAGCAGGCTGCAGTCTCTGGTGCACCACACGCCTTCGTCTGGTGGGTATGAGAGCATATCCAGCAGACACCGACAAGAATGCAAGATTTTTATTTTTGGAAGTCCATGTTTCAGTGCGTTCAGCTGCTCGTTCAAAGCAAAACCGAAGGGAGCCGATGGAATTCGGAGCATCTCATTGAGCAGCGGTGAAAGGCTCTGACCTGGGGAAATGATTCAAGGGCGCCGCGTCAGGTTTGCTGCAGGAGCTTCCTGCCTGGTGCTGCGTTTGTGTTTCTCCCCGATTAGAGCTAGGTTCAGTGCTGCCATCTCAGTGGTCTGTTACGGGTGGGAGGGGGGAGCGTGTCTGTGTGTTGGGTTGCCTCTCCTGCCTCCTTTTTTGGTAAGCCGGAGCATTGGATATATGCAGCTAGGGGGCAGGGAGTGGGGGCAGAGTAATTAAAGTGAAAACAAAAACATTCCTTGTATTATGACTGTGTTTTCTAAAGACAAAATGATTCTTGAATTTGACCTGGTTTATTCCAGAGATGCTGATGGCGTCCGGATGAACCCCAACCCCTGTTCACTGTTGTTCTGGCTTCGGTCGATGCATGTAATATAAGCTTCCTCAAACAAAATAAATTCCCTTTGTAAGATAACGCGTGCCCTGTCGTTGAGAAGCAGAGCCTGGCGTCAGCCTGGAGCCGCGGTGAGGAGCAGCGAGGAGCCGCGAGGAGCACGGCGCTGCAGCGATGCTGGTGGCAGCACGGCCGGGCGGAGCTCGTGGCCGGAGCTCGGTGAGGTTTCGCAGCTCCTCATCGCTGTGTCCGCCGTCGGGCGGCGCGACGGCCTCGGTGCTGCGTCCCGGAGGGGCTCCGCGCTGTTGGCAGGGACGGCGGCAGCGCCGGCAGCTCGGCTTTGCTGCCGGTGGAAGTGCTGAGCTGGCCGTGCTTCGGCGGCGTGAGAGCCGGGAAACCGCGGCGTGAATGGGGGGAGAAGCGCAGCGCCCGAGTGGAGCGGAGCGGGGGAGACGGAGGGGTGCGGGGTGGGCGCTCAGTGCGGGGAGCGCGGCCGCCAGGGGGCGCCCGTGAGCGGCTGCGGTTGAGCCGCGCGCTGCGAGACCCCCGGCTCAGCCCGCAGCAGCGCCGGGCTCTGCCGAAGGAAAACTCTTTCCCCCAAAGCAGCGGCGTGTGATGCGTTTGCTGGAAAGAGTTTAAATGTGAATGGGGGAAAAAAGGAGGAAAGGATCCCTCGTGTCCTTCTGGAAAGGCAGGAAGAGGGGGTGAGGTGGTGCGGCTGAAGGGAGAGTGGTTTCTGTGGGAGCCCCAACGGGGGATGCTGAGGATGCTGAGGATGCTGAGGATGCTGAGGATGTTGAGGATGCTGAGGATGCTCCCCACGCGGCATCGTCCCGAGGGCTGCCTGAAATCAGAGCTCTGCCAGCAGTGTGAGAGCTCTGCTCTGCACAGGTAGCACCGGAGCTGGCAGTGTTCACACTGAGCTCGTAATGGAGATAAGGCATCCCAGAGCAGTGCCCTCACTGCCTCCAGCAGCAGCGCTGTTATGAAGATAGCTGAAATCGTTGGGCTGTCACAGGTACTGTAAACCCCACGTGTTAATAAGAGCCAGATCTCCCATATAAGGCTGCGTGTGCTGCTCCGATCCTTTTGGTCCCCACTCATAGGAGAAATGGTTTGGGACCCATTGGCTGCTTTCTAACCTTAAGCTGGGGCTCTGCCCCTCTCCTGGAGCTGGCAGGGCAGAGCCTGGGCACGCTGCTGGGCGGCACACGCAGCACAACACAGCCGGCAGCCTCAGCTTTGGGTCTGAGCGCAGTGCAGCATCTCTGTCTGCCCCGCTCAGTGCCTCCCTCCCCAGGAGCAGTTTCTGCATCTCCTGGTTGGGATGAGCTCAGCACAGCCGTGGTGTGGGTGACAACAGGCAGCTGATGCTGGGGAAAGTTGCACTGTGCTGCTGACAGCTGTTGTGCCCCGGGTGCACATCTCAGGCTGCCCTGCCGGAGGAAAACATAGCCATGAAGGTCACAGTGCTGCCGGGGGCTCCGGGCACGATGAAGTGCTCAGTGACTCTGCCCCAACGGGGATCAACCACCACGGTGGGAAATGGGGCCCATGGGAGCACGGCTGATGTGGTTGAGGCCTTTCTGAGGAGCTCGTGCTCAGCTCTTCCCTTCCGAGCACCACAAGCTCTGGGGATCCTCGCCCAGGGGCTCTGCAGGACCTCGTGCTGCAGCACACGGCGCTGAGGCTGCGCTGGGCAGAACCAGAGGCCACGCAGGCACAGCAGCTCAGGGTCTGCCTTCAGCCTCCCGTTTGCTGGAGCTCAGCAGCTCCAGGCTGGCTGCTGCCTGCCCTGGGCTGAGCCCAAGCCTCACGCAGACGCAGGTGCTGCACGGCTCCTGCAGCTCCCAGCGCAGCATCCCTCACACCGTGGGGCTGCTCGCATCCTCCTCTCCACCACAGCAGCCCCAGGACCTCCCAGCACTCCCATCCACGGCACCGACCCGGGGCTTTGCTCCGCCCCATCGCAGCCCCCATCCCGCAGTGCCCCCATCCCACCCTCCCCCCCCCCAAACCAGCAGCTCTGCAGCTGCATACCAGGGCTGCAAAACTTACTGGAAATCCTGTAGATGCAAATCCCGGCCTCCCATCCGTGCCAGGAATTTGAGCTGCAATCCCAAGAGGGCAGCAGGCTCCAGGCACGCAGGCCTCCCCGCTCTCACTGCCCAGCATTCGAAATGCTCTTTAAGGCCAGACTGGAGGAGGCGCTGCTCGCAGCCGCCAGCCGGCTTCCCCAGCCCCATTTCTGGGGCCGTGCCCGTTGATGGCAGCTGGCCGCCCGCAGCTCCAGCAGTGGCAGAGATGCCCCGCGTGTGCGTGCAGCTCGGCCCTCGGGCGCAGCTGCACCTGCAGTGCTGTGCAGCAGTGGAGGATTGCAGCGCTGGGGCGGCCTGGGCGCGATCGGCAGAAGCGAAACTCTCGCGATGGAAGCCTCAGGGAGGGCAGCGCTGGGCCGCGGCTCTGCTCCGTCCCTCTAATTTATGAGCAGCTCGCAGCGCCCAACAAACAAGTTGGAGGAGTGACGTCTGTGGTTAAAAAATAAATCAGTGGTTCTTCTTTGCTTCCAAACTCAGCTCTCCCGATGCTTCCCCAGCAAGACGTCGGCCGGGCAGCCCATCCAGCCACAGAGTAGCAGCATGAAGCGATTCCCACCTCCTGTGAATAAATGCAACGGTTCCCCCTCCCCAGAGCCCTCCTTCAAGGGACCCCAGGCCCCGTCTGAGTCCTTTGGGGTCACCTTAGCTCTGCCCCTGCGCAGCCCCGAGGCTTCGATCCATCCCAGGTGAAACCCAACCCTGCAGAGCGCAGCCCGGCGCTGCACCGAGGCAGCAGTGAAGGTCAGGGAGCTCCACAGCACTGAGGGGTGCAGGGTCCTATTGGGGAGCACCGGGGGGGCTGCAGGGGTGCGGAGGGAGCTGGTTTGGGTTTGCACGATTTCAGCCTCTGTGGACACAGCTCTCATTGCTGCGCTGGGGTTTGTATTGGCAGGGAGGCTCCTGGGGGGTGGGA